TTTCTGGCACTGGAACCCAGGGCTGGGTGGTCTGGTGTGGGGTCCCTCACTTCCGACGTGTGCCTCCTGATTTTCATCTACCACATGTGGGTGTGAGACTCCCCATTCTGCATCTCCTGTCTCCGCATCTCTGCCCTTCCTACCCGTCTGGATGAATGTGGCTTCTTTCATTCCTTGGTTGTCAGACTTCCATACAGCTTGATTTTCTGACGATTCTGGGTGACAGTTATTTTGTAGTTTAGTATAATATTTTTTCTGTGGTTGTGCAAGGAGGTGAACTATGTTTACCTATGCCTCCATCATGACAGGAAGTCCCACTCTTTATTATTGAGACTGCACTGTCTGCTGGTCCTGGGGCAAGCACCACACGTATATTATTTCACTTCAGCCTCACAACCCTGTACCTCCGGGGCCTGGCATGGTGCTCAGTAAACGTCTGCAGGTTGAATGAGTAGCCCCAGGGTAGGTATCACTATGCCCACACTTCAGTTTCTGGAGGTTATAGGACTTATGCAAGTCACAGAGCTATTGAATAGCTGAGCCAGAACTTGAACATGGATGAGTCTGTTTTCAAAGCCTTGAGTGTTTACTTCCAGCATTATCACACCTTCGATGGAGTGAAAAGCTCCGACATAGAAAATAAGACTTAGACCTAGGACTTAGAAAATAAACACCCCTGCCTAGGAGCAGAAACCCACGAACATGGAGCCTCACTGAACTGAAACAGGCAGCATGATCTTTCTCAGGGTCAAGTGTCGACAGGAGAGAATGCACTAGCACTGGACATGACCCCTGTCTTGTTCTAATGAGGAACTGAGTAAAGGAAGGATAAAGAAAGTAAAAGCTGGGAGTATAAATAATAAACTTGACCTCTTTGGGTCTAGTTAAGAGCACAGGCTCTGGGGTCAGGTAGACATGAGTTTGAACTCTGCCTCAGTCATTTGGTACTGCAGGACCTGAAGGAAGCTAATTAACCTAAGTATCAGTTTCCTCATCAGCAAAACGGAGCCCCTCTCTGTAGAGCTGTTCTGTGGGTAGGTGAGATAATGTGTGACAAACACAATACCCAGCACAACATCAGTGCTCGAGAAAGATCTGTGACTTCTCGCAGTAGTATCTCATTCTCTTTCCCCATTCTAAGATCAAACTTACTTTGCTATTACCTCTTACCTCTTACTCACCTCTTACTTTGACCAAGTAAGAGGGGAAAATTGGTCCCAAGAGACATGTCAAGCCAGGATGGTCTTAAAGCTGTGGAGTTGGCACTCGAAGCCATAAACCAGATTCTTACTGCTCTATCTACAATAGAGAATTCTGTTTCCAACACAGTTCTCTATGGAGGTAACCCCAGTGCAGGTTGGCCCCCATTGTAGACATTTTGAGGTTATTTCAGAGGCCAGATTAAGTGACACTTTCCCTTATTTGGTCCTCATCGAGATTACGTAATTCTAACCCTCTTCTCATAATCACAAGCAAAGCTTGAAGCGATCAAACATACGTTACTGTTGAACCATTTAGAATTTTAGATCTTTTTCTTTTGACATTGCCATGATGGAGGCTCTGGATGCTCCCAAACTGCACCCCACCCACCACCATCAACACACACACACACAAACACAGGCCCGACAACCCCTCCCAGGCAGCACCGTCCGAAAATGCAAATATCGCTGACTACAAGCAGATAGCATCACCACCTTGCTCCACTCCTCACAGCTTGGGCGGGCACACACTTCCCCAGGTGAGCCATCTAGAGAAAAACCCAGGAAGGAAAACAGGTCCGGGAAGAAAGGACCCAGTTTCTGTTGGAACGGTGCTTTGAACAGGACAGCAGAGCTCAGACTTGTCACCTGGGTTGACCTCCGGCTCCACCCTTCCTCTGAGCCACTGTTGAAGCCGGGACAGAGAAACGTCACAGTGGGGAGCCCCATGGGAGGAGGAAACCCGAAGCGACTTCTTCCCTTTCTCCCTTATTGGGGGGTGGGGATTTCCAGACCACAGAAGGTAACGAATTTCAAACTCTGAGGGACTCTTCCTCATCCTTAAACACTGGAATAGGCTCAACACAGTCCTCCCCTCAAAAGCTCTCCTTGTTGGATTAAATCCACAGCCTGGGGTTTTCAGGCCCCCCATTTACTGGTTCTGCCTTTCAATCCAGCCAGCCTTACTTCCCACAGTTCCAAATGTTCTAGCTTGCCCTCAAGTGACCTCAATTCCAACAAACAGTCCCCCACCCATCTCCTTTATCTAATCACTTACCCATATATCCACTCAAGGAGATTTTATTACGCACCTAGTCTGTGTTCTGCACTGTTCTTGATACAGAGAGTAGAGAGAACAATGGTTTCTACCTTCCAGATCCACATCCTGGTGAGATAAACACTCAGAATGGCAGGCAATTATAATACTGGGTGCTAAGGGACATGATGGTGCACAGAACGCTTCTCTCAAAGGGCGTTTTATTTCCCCCTCCACCTGTCTCTCTCTCTCTCTCTCTTTCTCTCTCTCTCACACACACACACCCCATGCTGGCTTTTTTACCTTTCACACCTTAGAATCCCTACAGCAAGTCAGAGTGGTATGTAAACTCACCAGAGAGCACCTGAATACACACTGCTTTGCATTGTTCTCTGATTGCTTCTTGCACATGCAGCTTCTCTCCATCCCTCATATAAATACAAAATTCTGCACGTCACGTGGCACAATACTGAGCATGGAATGAACACCTGGAAAAACCTCTTGGCCTGCCAGTCTTTCCTCTGTACCACAACCAGAGTGATCTTTCCAAAACACAGACATTACCTTCCTTCTTAGAAACGTTCCGTAGCTTCCTTGCTCTTAGGATAAATGGTCATGCTGCACTCTCTCCCAGGCCCTCTGTTCTCTCCACGACGCCCTTGCAGCCTCTGCCCAGACCCCTTCCTTCTTCCTTCCCTACTTCACCTTTTTAACCCTGCTCATCCTTTGTATGTTACCTCATGGAAATATTTCCCTTTTTGGGAAAACTGCCTCTACCCACCCAGTAAGATCAGGTTCCTTCCTCATTTACCTCCATGAATGGATTTCTTTCCATCAGCATTTACCTCAATCTGCAAGTAAGCCTTCATCAGTGGGGTTATTTGATTACTGCCTGCCTCCCCACCAGGTGGTAAGCTACACGCCAGCAGTGGTTGTGTCTGGTTTCACTCACAGTGCTATCTGCAGCACCTGCCCCAGGGCTGACATATTCCAGGTATTCAGTAAATGTCTGCTGGACAAATCAGTGAACCAATGAATGAAGGAATGAATGAATGAACACTAAGTGTCTTCACGTTCCATGCTCTGTACTCACTGTGGGAATACAAAGTTAAGACTACATCTGTGTCCTCGTGGAGTGCACAGTCAGAGGGCAAAGAGATAAACAATTATGAAAGAGTATTGAGTGCAGGATCGATTTTCAGTGTCTGCTGTGGCCACGGGGTTGGAGGAGTGGTGTTGTGAGTGCCTGTGCTTTGGTCCACTTGACCTTCATTGTGTCATCTTTGCTATGCTGACCCAGATCATGAAGGGCCTTGTGCCACGCTTAAGAGTTTGCACTTTGGCTCTGGTTTTCAATCAGGATAATATTCTCCAAAACTTTTTAAAATAGGCTATACTTCCATATATCTTCACAGTAGGGCTATTTGAGCTCCGTTTCTCCCCCAAGGACTCTGTGGTTCTATAATAAAAATTAGTTTCTAGTGTCAAGGCTTCAAGTAGCAGGTTAGGGGCCTGGTAGAGAATGAAGTCAAAGGACTGAAGTCGGTCGCCACCTAGTGGCCTGAGCTGCACTTGCATACTTTTCCGAACAGTTTGCTCCTTGCTCCACCTGTTTCTCTGCGGTTAGTGAGACGTGTCCGTTTGTAAACTAATCTGGTGAGTGTGCCTAGAGAATAAAGAGAGAGAGAGAGAGGAGTAAGATGGCTTTAGGAGGAATGGATAATCAGTTCACAGGAAACCCCTGACAACCCCCCCCTCATAGCAGGTGGTCCTGAAGTGGCCAATCATGGCCACCTCCTGGTAGGTCGAATTTATAACCTGATCTACCTTGTCCATGCTGAGAGGTGGTGTGGCCAGCGGGAGGCATCCCCTCACATGTCCCTGGCAGTGCCTTTAACGATCGCACCGTGGCACCTTTGGCACCTATGTGTTATGACTGAGCAGATTTGTGTGTGTGTGTGTGTGTGTGTGTGTGTGTGAGAGAGAGAGAGAGAGAGAGAGACAGAGAGAGAGACAGAGAGACAGAGAGAGACAGAGACAGTCTTCCCAGAGCTGTGACCTCAACTGAACACAGAGTCTAGGGTCAAATAGAGCGAGGTTTGCCCTCCAGACCCACCGTTGCTAACTCTGTGACCTGGGTAATTTAATTCTCTTCTCCGATCATCAGTTTCCTCATCTGAAAAAGGGGCAACAATGATTGCATCTAGTACAGAGTTACTCTGAAGATTATATTTTAAAACGTTTCTAAATCTCCTACACCAAGACACGTTATCTAGGGTCACTGCTCTCACCATCCTCATTGGTGTGTTCATGAACAAGGAACCAGCCTGGGTCAGAGAAGTTATGAGGTTGAGTTCAGAGCAAGGGGGCCTGAAAATGTTCTCCCAGCCAGACACGACCCAGGCCTCACTCTGCTTAGCTTCAGAGACCAGATGAGACTGGGCGCCTCACAGTGTATGGCTTGTAGACTGAAAACTGTTTCTTAAGATTGTTCCGCCTTCCAGGCTGCCAACAGTAAGTCCCACAGAGCAAATGCCCCTGGGGAGCCCCATCCTTCTGTTAGTCCTGCTCTGCTTCTTAAGCAGCAAATATGGACGGAAAGATGTAATAGAATACAGTGTCTTTGCACCCTTGGGTGTTTTTTTAAATAGCAGCTTATTGAGCTAAAAATTAAAAATCCCCTATCCCTTTTGTTTCTTTCTACCAGAAAGGTTGTTTTAAAATATTCTCCCTAACCTTTTCCTGTTGGTTTGTTTCGTTTTCAGGTTCCACCTCTCTTTGCCAGAGTCCAAACGCAGCAATATCGAGGTAGGAATCAGATCCCTCAGACTTCCTTGTGCAGGGAGAACAAGAGTTCTCTTATATAGTAGCTGGATGGTTGCTTTCTATACTGCTGAGTAGTACTTGTTTTTCCCATGAGTGTAGATTTTAACTTTAAAATTCTTTATGGAGCTACTAGTCCAACAAGCCCATTAACTATTAAACAAGATAGGAAGTCTCCAATGTACTTTTATCTGTTCAAAAGACTTTAAAAAGAACTCAAAAGACTGTTAAGGCACTGTATAACGTTTTGGGGGAAAGGTATTTTCAAGGAGATTTCACTTTTTGGATAAAATAATCCTCTATAGTTAAATTGAAGAGCCAGATTCCCAAAGGGTGGGGCTCTATGTCAATTATTAGGCCATGATCGAGTTTGCTCTTTGAAGGCTTCCCAGCCACCTCCTAAAATGAGGTCAAGGCTGGTTGCATAGACGTCTTTTGGGGGGGCCCAGCTTGGTGACCTCCTGACTGGAAGACTGGTACAGTGTGTGACGGGGTACCACCAACCCCCAAGCTTCAAGAAGATCAGCCAATCACTCATTGGCATCCATCCCTCATGGCACTTACATTCTGGAGCAGTGGTTCTCAAGTAGGGTCACAGTGGACAAGCACTTCTGTGCCATAGCCATTAGGTCGTTGACAGACTATAGTCAGTGAGAATGCACAGCTGACTGTCTCATAACTAATATTTCCTGAGCCTGGAGGAGTCAAGATGAGACCAAGTTTTCCAGGAAGACCCAGAAAAACTCCTTAGTATCAACAACAAAGTATACTAATCATGACATGTCTAAAAAAGATGGCAATGCTGTGTACCAGGAATAGTAACTTGTGTAACCCTGACAACACCCTCTGAGGTTGGTACTGTTACCCTCACTTGACAGTTGAGGAGCTTGGGGCACAGGGAGGTCAAGGAACTTTACCCACATTGCACAGTAAAGTGTTAAAAACTGGAGGTAAACCTAGGAAGTCTGCTTCAGAGCCACCTTTGCTAAGTTGCAAAGAGGTCCTTATTATTGTAAGCCTAGAGAATGCTCAAAAAATAGTGATTGAATTCAATCATATTTCAATCAGAAAATATTGATTGAATGTTCATCATAGTCCTTTTATTTTTAAAAAAATATTTTATTTATTTATTTTTAGAGAGGGAAGGGAGGGAGAAAGAGAGAGAGAGAGAGAAACATCAATGTGCGGTTGCTGGGGGTCGTGGCCTGCAACCCAGGCATGTGCCCTGACTGGGAATTGAACCTGCGATGCTTTGGTTCGCAGCCCGCGCTCAATCCACTGAGCTATGCCAGCCAGGGTAGTCCTCTTATTTTTAATACCTGAAGCTTGCTAAGATTATACAACTGCCACAGCTTATGAATGACAAAGTGGGCGTTCTGGTGATGCCATTAACTGCGGAGCATAATATAATGTGAGGGAGCTGCTGTGGCTGGGCTTCCCAGCAAATTGAGGAAAGATTACTAATTGAGATATACAGCGTCTATACTTGGTAGTGTCTAAGCTGCCATGTTTGCTGCCACCACGGGGTTGCTCTGCATTTATTGTCACCATGATCCAGGGGAGAGGGGAGCAGAAATGTCTATCCTCCAGGAGGAAAAAAGATTGGGAAACTCTGTAACATGGTTTCCCACAAAACAGCTCCCACGGTCTGGAAGCTGGGATTGGTATCTCCGCCGGGAGACTCTAACGAGAGCTCTCTGTCCTGGTAAGGTATGCGAAAGTGCAGGTCCAGCCCGGGCATGGTGCCTTAAAAATGTCTTGACTTGGCAACTGATTTAGTTTCCCCTTTCATTTTAGGTCTTGAGGTTTGAAAATATTCTGTCCTCCATCCTCCACTTTGGCGTCCTCCCGCTGGCCAACGGTAAGAGGTTCTTGGGAAGCAATGTGACCCTGACATTGGCTAAACGTTGGGGATTGTTGGGGACTTTCCACCCTGAAGCTTGTACTTCTAGAGTGTTGTTATGAGTCCAGGCCAGTGCCAGAATTTGCAGTTTGTACCATCAACCATAAGGTTGCAAAACGAGTTATTCTAGGTTCAAACCTTGTTAGCAATTCTACTTGAAGACTCAGCAAGACAAGCTATTTCTGGCTGAGTTGAAAAGACTGAAACCATTCCCCTTAGGCAGTGAAGAGTCTCCTTCAGCCAGAAATGACATGACTCGCACCAGCAGCCGGTGCTTCTCGGTGGTTCTCATACCAAGACCACCCTCTGGATAGACAGAGTCTCAGTGAAACGACAACTGTCCACAACAGCAGCATCTGGAGTCTGACTTCATTACAATACGCTTTGTAGTACAGGCCAGAATGTTCTCAGACCCACTAAGTTATTTTCAAACTATAAATTGGACAAGGTGCCAGCATTTTTCTGCCATCCAAATGCACATAATAGCAGGTGCATTTTTATTCAACATGGATCAATTAACCATTCTTGCAGGGAAATGCTAGAGACAGATCGGAGAAAATGAAAACAGAGAACTAGGGAGAATGGGAAGATAAACTATTTAAAAGCTGCTTGTTAGTCTCTTGCTCAAAAGGTTACCAAAACTTTATATTCCCGTGCCCAAGTATTTTACATCTTGTTTTACTTTTTAGCAAAACTGCAGCAAGGATTTCCTCTGCCCAACCCATACAAGATCTCATTCGTCAATTCAAATATTGAAGTCCTTGAGGTAAGAATGTGAATATTCTCCAAACTGCCCCATTTCTTCTCATAGCAGAATGAGCCTCTTTCTAGTTGCTTATTTTCCATTTTATCTAGTTTTGCTTCATTTTTTTTCCCAGCTCAGGGAATTTTATAAACAAAATATTTGGTTATTAAAGCCTGCAATTAATAATGTAAAGCATTTAAACTTGAGTTTTAAAATCAAACCGGGTCCAGTTTCCCTTTGCAGCCAAATTTATTCATACCACAGAACCAGACGCACTGCATTGTGCTTCCTTTCCATCGCTTCACGAGACCCGGTGCAAGGCTGGGGTAATCAGTCCCATTTTACAGATGAGGAAAGTAAGACTCAGAGATGTGAAGCGGCTTGTGCAGGTGGCTAAAGGCATGACCGGGGAAGGGGGGGGACAGGGGAGGAGAGGATGTGACACAGTGGGACCTGGTGAAGAAGCCACCTCTCCCTCACCCCTCAGGAAGACTCATCTCCTATGGCTGCAGGTGCCCAAAGTTTAACCTTATCTTCATTGTTGCATCTTTTTCAGCATTTTCTTTTGATTTCCACTGACCTGAAATATGAAACGTCTTTAAAACAGCCACCCAGATTCTATGGTTGGGAAGGTCTGAACCTGATAAATGAACAGTGGAGGGGAAAATCGGTCCCCTGATCGCCTGGCGTCCACTCCAGGACATAAATGGCCCTTGACCCCACCTACTGTACACCCAGAGGAAGAAGACAATGCGAGCTGGAGTTGTAAAGCTCTGGTCAAGTGTTCGGGCTGAAAGTTTTCTTTCTCTACTCCTCAGAGACAAGGGGAGGCAAACCCGGTTAAAGAGTTAAATCAGGGTGTGCCTGTCTCCATGTGTGTGTGGTGGGATGGGCATTTGAATGTGTGCTCCTGTTTCAATGCGTGCTGTGTGTTTCTGTGTTTGTAAGATTCTGTGGCCAAGAGTGAGGCATGCCCTTCTGATGAGGTGCACGAGGAACTCTTAAGCACAGATTTGAACTGATGTCCTCAGCGGAGAGCCCTCCAGCCCCTCCAGCTCTCTAGGGTTCTCCCCTCCCTGCACATTGTTGGATTTTGTGTTTTATATGCACTGCTACTGTCCCCTGTATTTAATTAAAAGTGTTTTCTATCAATGTCAAGTACCTTGTTTTATTTGCAAAATGTCCTGCCCCGGATTTGTTTTTTGTTTTTTTTTTTTTTTCTAATAAAGTAAGACAGGAAAGAAGGAAGAGAATTTAGTGTTGTTAAGGATGATGTACAGATTTCAAGACTTGATTTTTGCCTCTTAGATGTTTCCAGGGAGAAACAGGGTGGTCACAGCAAACTCTGGAAGTTGTATCACTTTAACTTCCAGGGTGTTTTCCCTCCCCGATTAAATGAAAGGCAGCACAGAGGACTGACCCTAGAGAACTTACAGTCGGTGATGACATCAGTGTTGTTAGAGCACCTAATCAATGGGGTGAAGCGGGAGGGAAAGAGGAGGAAAGGGAAGCTGGTGTGGACGGTGAAGAGAAATGAAGAGAAACCTCAGCTTTGGATGTGTGTGGTTTACAGCCCAGTGAGGGGGATGGCAGACGGCAATGGCAATGATCGGAGTACTAACCACGCGCCAGACCCCGTGCCGGCTCCTTCACGGCAGCCGGCTCATTTAATCTTCACAGCCTCTCTAGGAAGAGTTACGATCCCATTTTATGGCTGAGAAAACCAAGGTTAAGAGCGGTTAACCACACAAAGGCGATATGTGGCAGAGATAGACACTGAATCCAAGTCTTTCTGAGTCCAAAGTCGCTGTTCTTCACGCAAAGTAGGACTAGAAACTGAAATCGCTTAGAGCTCTCGCTGCTTTGAACAAGAGGCACAGCGTAGGGAAGCATGGTCGCCGAGCACTCGGTCGCCACCGCGGGCTGGACCGGAAAGCCCCGGCTCTGCACGGGCACTGACCTTTGCTCCTTACGGAGCCGAGCGTGCGTCTGACCCCAGTAGCGTTTGTCGGGATAAATGATAAACTGCCACGTTTCATTCTTCGGGATTGTCTTTTATGACATAAAAGTTATTGAAGGCACATCCACAGATTCATTCGGACACATTACAAATGTTCAGTTGTGATATTTATTTAAACACGTTGGGCCCTGGCTGGCGTAGCTCAGTGGATTGAGCGCGGGCTGCGAACCAAAGTGTCGCAGGTTCGATTCCCAGTCAGGGCAAATGCCTGGGTTGCAGGCCACGGCCCCCAGCAACCACACATTGATGTTTCTCTCTCTCTCTCTCTCTCCCTCTCCCTCTCTCTCTCCCTCTTTCTCCCTCCCTTCCCTCTCTAAAAATAAATGACTGAAACATATTTTAAAAAATAAACACGTTGGGCTTTCTCGGCTGCACACATCTTTCCCCCCTCACGGGTGGGGGTGAAGCTCCAAGCTGATCTATCCATGAAAACAGCAGAACCTGACTCAGATTCAGCAAACAAAACAAAAGATAACGAGATCATACTAAAAACTACTGGATTTAGCTAGTTGAGCTAGTTTAGCCTAGAAGAGAACGACTAGTGAACTATCCAAAAAGTTAAACACTAGAGGGCAGTCTGACTTATCCGAGGGAAAAGCGGTCGGTCGTCCGAGGCATTTAGAGCCTGGGCACTTGCCGTAGCCCATCCAGCCAAGGAGCCGGCTGCGCCTGCGTGCTGAGTTCCGGAAGCTGGTGCTTCAGGCAACGGGACAGCGCGGCATCTCTCTTCAAAGCTGAACAGGCAGTTGGTACCTTGGTCGCCGCAGCCATGAGTCGCAGCTACAATGACGAGCTGCAGTTCTTGGAAAAGATCCATAAAAACTGCTGGAGAATCAAGAAAGGCTTCGTGCCCAACATGCAGGTGAGGCGGGGGAGCAGGACCTGGTGGCCGGGCCTTCCCAGCTGGGGGCCCGTGGTGCCTCCCGGCTACCCGCCAGCCTCCTCCTCGCCCTCCCGACCCCCAGCTATGGCTGGTGCCGCCCCCAACCCTCAGCAGAGTTCCTCCTACAACCCCCCAGCCCCCCCCTTCCCTCTGGGCCTGAGGACTACCAAACCTGTACCCTCCCCGGCATGCTGCTGGAGAGGTCCCCAAATCATGTGGACCAGTAAAGTGGAGTATCTGTAAGGATTCCAAGTAAATATGAAGTTAGCATTTGCAAACCGTGTTCTCACACAAGTGTCAGAAACGCTGCGTAAGATGCGCTGCATTCCTGAGCTTCAGAGACGCGAGCTGCCTTTTACAAGGCGGCGCAGCCAGTCCGGGGTCGAGTTGCTGGGACTGGAGCTCAATTCTTCTGAGTCACGCTGGCCACGTTAGGTGACCTTTACAGATCTGAGTTCGCTGAACCAAGTTTTTAGCCTTCGCTGCACCGTGCTGGGTTTTAATAAAACGGCTTTGCTCCTCGCAACAGCCTAGAAAGTTCACAGGGCAGTGTTTATGTTTAATATCCACCTCACAGAAGGACCCTGAGGAACAGTTGGTGACACAGCTTCCTCTACCCACCTAGTGAGAAGCTCAGCCGGGACGCGACGTCCCGTTCACTTCTTGCTCGGACAGGACGGACCCCACGAGTCCGACAGCAGAGAGTTGGGAAGCGGGTGCTGCCCGCACTTCTCAGGCTTCGTTGCATTTTTGCCCATTTATCTTCCATTAGAGAAGAGAAATGAGGTATCTGAGGTTTTTTGCTGCCTGTGTTAAATGGCTTTTGAAATTCGTTACGGGGCCATCCAAGTGCACGGAAGGTTTGTGATCCTGTCTTGGTAAAAGTTCTCGGTAGCCACTCCGCCCTTTTACTCAATATCAAAACTTGACAGAGTGTCCTTAGTGAGTAAAGCACCTAGTTAGACACCTAGCGCAGGAAAAGCCCACAGTTAGAAAGACTCCTTTGTGCTGTTTTCCACGTGGCCAGTTTCTGTGTATGGTGGTTTTCTGGACGCAGAAGGAGAAAATGAAAAACCAGGGGGACAGGACGATCTGAAAGACGGGGACACATGGTCTGGCAGCAGTTCTGGCCTGACCTGGGATGCGCACACTGCGGCTAATCCTGAGAGCCAGTCCAACTTCGCTAAGCAGTTCCGGTTTAACTCTTTGCACCCCACTTTTCCACCACCCAGCCCTTGAGAAGGGGCGGTTGAAATGTTGACGTACTGCTCTTAAAACATTACTGACCTCCACGCCAAGTTTAAGTCGTGTTCCCATCCTCATGAGAGTCACGAATTTCACACTAATAATTATCCTGTCCTTCATAGCCTCCATTCCCCTCCTGAGACCCACATGCTGCACTAAAGATTCCTTTTTGCTCCCTCCCATCTTCATGTCATCGTTTTGTTCAGCTCCTAAAAGTGCTGCTATTTCCCGTGATGCCTCGTGTCTTTAAAGAGCCGACTCGGTGAGCCACCTGAACAAAAAGGGAGCCACCTGTGAGGCCTCCCCTGGCTCCCTAGTCTGCTGAACCACTTCTTCACCAGAGTCTGCCCAGCACTGGGCACTCCTGGTACCGCACCTGCCTCGCTGTGGCCTTAATTGGCTCGTCCGGGCTGCGTTCTAGACTGGAAGCCCCTCAAGCAGGATCTTGCATATTCTTTACATCTCCCTGCGCGCCCAGTACAGTGCCTGACCCGTTATATAAGTCCTCAGTAAATGTTTGGGGTGCTAGTAGATGTGCCCTTTGGGAATTGTACGAGGGACATTGTTCATCCACTAGTACTGTTATTCATGCGGTGGTTAAGATGCAGAAATCATCTTTCTGATTAGAGCAAATGACTCGTCCAGACGATGAAGTGCTTAGTCTTTGGTTCTCCTTGACTGGGCAGTTCCTTCATAATATTTGATCTATGATAAAAATGTTCTGGCCTTTGGTGTTAGTTACATAATTGCCTTTCGTGTGTTCCTTTATCAAACTTCTTTATCCTCTAAGATACAGATTATGGGACTGAGCACACAGCTGTATAGCTGCATGTTTAATTATTTTTACTCACCATTTACCTAAGCATAGACTTGTAAATCAGCATAGGACACAAGGAAGTGTGATGTGCTGTTTCTTAAGCACAGAAGTACACGGAAGTTAGATGACTGCATTTTTATGTTTGGAATTTGACATTTTGATTCATCTGTTTTTTTCAAAACCCATTGATATTTTAGAAGCGTGAGGATACTGAGGCGTTTTGGCAGTTACAGCGATTGGCAGACCTTTGTCACATATACAAAAATTTTACGTGTTAAATGCTTAAATGTGGCTTTGAGAGTAAGAGAATAAACAAAACAATCTGTAGGCCCTGGCCAGGGTGGCCCTATTCGAGCGTCCCGTGAACTGGAGGGTTGTGGGTTCTGTCCCAGTCGGGGCAACCGCTGTTTCTCTCTCACATTGGTATTTCCCTCCCTCCCTTCATTCCCCTCTCTCTAAAATCAATAAGCATGTCCTTGAGTAAGGCTTTTTTTTAAAAATTGTGAACATTTCAAATACATTTTTAAGAAATATAGTTGAGCCCTGACTGATGTGGCTCAGTGGGTTGGGCATTGCCCCGCAAGGGTCAATGGTTCCATTCCCAGCTTAGGGTCTGGGCACGTGCCAGGGTTATGGGCTGGCCCACGGTTGGGGCACATGCGCGCGGCAGCCACGTGGTATTTCGCTCACACGTCAACGTGTCTCTCCCTTTCTCCCTCCCGTACTCTCTCTCTAAATATAAATAAAATCTTCTTTTAAGAAAGATACACAGTCGACCCTTGAACAACACAGGTTTGAATTGCAGGTCCACTTATACACAAATTCTTTTTCAATAAATATATTTTCTCTTTCGTATGATTTTCTTAATATTTTTTTTCTCTAGCTTACTCTCCTGTAAGAATACAGTACTAATACATGTAACATACAAAATACATGTTAATCGACTGTTCATGTTATGGGTAAGGCTTCCAATCAACAGTTAGGTTATTCGTAGTTAAGCTTTGGGAAAGTCAGAAGTTGTACACCGATTTTCAACTGCATGGCGGGGGCTGGGTGGGAGTGGTCGACAGCACCTCAAACCCCCACGTTGTTCAAGGGCAACTGTACATAAGGATGGGAACATTATGTACTTTTTTTTCTATATTTTAGAAGAAGGGAGAGAGAAAGAAACATT